GGTCTTTGCACATTCCGTTATGATACCTGACTTTGTCTTCTCAAGCTGACCTTTGAAATTTTCTGTTCAGCTCTTTTACCTCATTTCACCCACTTGCTTTAGCATTTCTACATTGGAGAGACATTTAATGACCTTTTATTTTCTTCCTGTATGATGTTCTTGATGCCATCTCCCACAACTCTTCTGGTCTTCTATCTTTAGTGTCTAATGCATAAAATGGTTCTTCAGATGATCTCTTAATTCAGGTGGGATATATTTAAGGCAGTATTTTGGATCTCTCAGACATGTTTTAATTTTCTTCAGCTTCAGCCTGAATTGATGAGTAATTGATGGGCTGTTCTAGTTTGCCCCTGGTTTTGTTTTGACTGATGATATGGAGCTTTTCCACTTACCTTTCCAAGATGTAGTCACTTTGATTTCTCTATATTCCATCTGGTAAAATCCATGTGTGTAATTATCCTTTATTTTGTTTAAAAAAAGGTTATCTGCAATGAAGAATTCATTAATCTTGTAAAATTCTATCATGCAAATTTCAGCATCGTTTCTGTTCACCAAGGCCATATTTTTCAACTACTAATCTTCCCTCTGTTTCCAACCTTTGTATTCCAATCACCAGTAATTATCAATACATTTTGATTGCATGTTTGATCAATTTCACACTTAAGAAGCTGGTCGAATTCCTCGATTTCATCATCACTGACTTTAGTGCTTGGTGCATAAATTTGAGTAATAATGGTATTAACCGTTGTTCCTTGTAGGTGTATGGATATTTTCCTATCACAGACAGCACTGTTCTTCAAGACAGATCTTATATGTTCATTCTGATGATGAATGCTACTCCATTCCTCTTCAATTTGCCATTCCCGGCATAGTGTTGTTGTTGTTATGTGCCATCGAGTCAATACCGACTCCTAGCGACCCTATGCACAACAGAAGTAAACTCTGCCTGGTCCTGAGCCAACTTCACAATTGTTGCCACACTTGAACCTACTGATGATGCTGCCAATCCATCTCACTGGGGGTCTTCCTCTTTTTCTCTGACCCTCCACCTTACCAAACTTAATAGCCTTCTCTAGAGATTGGGTCCTCCTGACAATATGTCCGAAGTATGAGAGACAAAATCTGGCTATCCTGGCCTCCAAGGAGCACTCTGGCTGCACTTTTCCTCACACAGATCTGTTTGTTCTTTTGGCATCCCATGGTACTTTCAATATTCTCCTTCAACAAACAACTCAAATGTATCAATTCTTCTACGATCTTCCTTTTTCACTGTCCAACTTTCGCATGCATATGAGGTATATACCACAGGTATTTTAAATACCAGCAGGGTCATCCACAATGGACAAGTTTCAGATGAACTTCTAGACAAAGACAGACTAGGAAAAAGGAGAGACGAACCACTTCAGAATATTTAGTCACTGAAAAACTTATGAACAGCAGAGAAACACCAGGCATAGTAAACCATGAGAATGTCAGATTCAAAATGGCCAATACCAATCCGTTTCAGCTCACTAATTCCCAGGATACAGATGTTTAATATGCATTCCATTTCATTTTTGACAATTTCAATTTTCCTAGATTCATACTTAGCACATTCCATGTACTGATTATTAATGATGTTTATACAGCTATTTCTCTTGATTTTGAATTGTGTCCCATAGCAAATGAAGGTCTCGAAGGCTTTACTCCATTCGTGGCACCACGGTCAACTTAAGAAGGCAACTCTCCTCAGTCATGTTCTGAGTGTCACCATCTTCCAGCACTATATCTGAGAATATTCTGGTGCTGGCAGTGTTCCATTGCTATTCATTAAGTTTTTAGTGACTCAATAAATATTTGAAACTAGTCCGTCTCTCCCCTTCTTCCAAGTCTGTCTTCATCTGGAAGTTCAGCTGAAACCTATCCACCACGGGTGACCCTGCTGGTATTTAAAACACCCATGGCATAGCTTTCAGAATGACAGTACAATAAATATATTGACAGATGAGTGGTGGTCCACTTGATAGTGTCCCACATAAATCTTAAAAGATTAATATAAATTCTAGTCAGAGTGAGTATAATTTTTGACTCACCCTTATAGTTCTGATTCCATTTCTGGTAGTATTATATTTTCATCACTTGTTAGAGGCACTATGTCTTACTTCTTCAAGTAAGCTGAACTCTTCTGTTGCCCCTAGACATTGTGGTGTCATTGTGTTAATATTTGATTGATGCTTTTATGTTGGTGTGTTCTCAGCACTCACCACCTGTCTCCTGGTGGGTGTGATAGACTGGAAGAAAGTCTGAATACAATTCTAGGTTTCCTGTTGGAGTAGTATATTTCAGGGTAGGTTCACACGTCTCAGGCATAGGTTCCACAGGAGAGAGTGACACTGGCCACTCTGTTGGGGATAGTGGGACTGGCCAAGTCTCAGCTACCAGGAGGGAAAGAAACCAAGGGAGGGCTGCAACCCCTTGTCTCCTCCCTGTGGCCCAGGCCTATACATGCAGGCTGCTGTTATCAGCATATGCTTTGCAAAAGCTCAAGATGGTCGTACTGCTACACGTGAGCTGACATAGCCCTGCCTAGCTCTGGTAGTGTAGTGGTTACGAATCTGGCTGCGAACCTTCAGGTCAGCAGTTCAAAACTACCAGATGTTCTGCGGGAGAAAGATGAGGCTTTTGGCTCCCGTAAAAATTTACAGCCTTGGAAACCCTATATACAGGGTTGCTGTGAGTCAGAACCAACTCCGCGGCACATAACCACCAACCTCCTCTTCTAGTCAGCACTTAATCCACCTGTCCATCCTATATTCTGAAGCTCAGTGTTCCATGCCCACCATATATATCAATTTCACTTGTTCTATCATGTCTTTGTTGAAGAGGGTCTGCTCAGTGCATCTGCCTACTTTGCCACTGGTGCTTGATCACATATATGCCATCTCTTGAAGTAGTTGAACACTGACCATTTCTTTCTGGCAGAAATGAATGCCAAATTGTGAGACAATACAACACTACCATCTCACACAGTGATGCTATGTACTCTTATCATCTTTTGAAGCTTCCTACAGCATTAAAATATTATAAATTAAGAGTTGAATTTTTTCTTTAGTTCTTTCAACTTGAGAAATGCTGAGTGTTCTGAAGATATTGATTCAAAATATACCCAATACCTACCACCCTGTCTTACTTACATAATAAACATTCCACTCTAAAATTTGAGTAAATCACAGGCACAGAGATTAGGATTTACAACACATTTCAGGGGACACAATTCAATCTATAAAAACTTCTACACTTGACATTAGAAGCCCAGTAGTGTCTTGATACCAAAGCCAGACTATGACTTCAAAAGAGAAAAAAACCACGTACCCGTAGAATTTATTATGAATACAGACTAGCACCATCAACAGAATATTAGCAAACTAGATCTAGCAACATATATAAAGGACGAAACATCATGGTCATGTGGGGTTTAGCCCAGAGATATGAGATTGGTTCAATCTCTGAAAATCAATTTGTGGTAATAGAGCATATTAATAAAGAAGGATGAAATAAACCACATGTAGAAATATCTGACAACATCTAGCATCTCTGCATGATAAAAGCGCTTTAAGTAGGAACAGAAAGCAAACTTTTAGAGACTGATATATATATAATCCTATTGGAGAATAGGGGTCTCTTGTAATACTAATGAGGCCATGTCAGTGCACGGTGTGTCTTTAGACAATCACATCTGAGATATAAAAACAACAAGAAGCCATGGAGATTTTCAAGAACTCCAAGACACTTACACAGGATTTTCTCGCAAAGAGTTTTTTTCTACAGTGGGTAGTCAATCAGACTTCTAGCCTCCTAAACATAGAACAATAAACATAGAACATAGCCCAGACATAAAATCTCATACTATGGTCTTTTTTTAAAAGCAGGTAGTACAAGTGGATATCTCAAAAGAATGAAGCTGAACGTCTACATCTCACAATACATACAGAAATTTATCCAAAACTGCTAAAGCTTTTAGGAGAAAACAAAGGAGTGGACCTTTTGTTATACTGTATTAGGTAATGGTTTCTTTGATATGACACCAAACCCACAAGCAACAACAACAACAAAAAAGTCTCCAACAAAGAACTCACGAACTATCTTTCTCAAAATTAACATAGTTGCTATATAACAATTCAGACGAATCCTAATTCATTTTTGTTATTTGGGTAGTAAAAACATCACCATGATAAACATATCTTAAGAAACACACACTTATAAAACATCAAGCACTTAGGTATATTACAAAGCAAGCACTTAGGTATATATTACAAAGAACACATTATTGTCTGGATAATTTCCTACCGATTAAGTTACAACACACATTTATTCTAATGTCCATCTCAAGACACATTTTGCAAAATAAAACAGGGAGACAGGGCATAAATATAAAACTATGAGTCCTTCATTTCCAAATACTAATGAGGCCCACAGAAAATTGTACTGAGAGATTTGTCTTCAAATCTCTCAAGTTATGAAGACTTCTTATAAAGTCTATTCCACTGTCACAATCAGTCCTCACCAACCTAAGAAGGCTGGAGAGAGAAACAGGACAGTGAGTTCTAATGCTTACTTTAATTGTAAGTTTAATTCTTGTTAACATTTGAAATGTAAAAAGCTGGCAATCTAGAATTGTACATACATTTTAAGAGCATTTTCCCCTTATCAAAATTTAAAACATCAATGAAATTGTTTCTTAATGTATTCACACCTATTTCATGGTTGACCATTATATTACTGCTAGTCATTTGGCTTCACAGAGGACAAGACTGGGGAGCAGAACTGAAAAGAGACTGTCTTTATTGTAAAAACCCCCAGGTAATGATCTATTTGACTCTGTCCAAAAGAACTTCCTCCGATGAAAATATCTTGCATCTGTGGCATCAAATATACAGTGGCCACTAGTCCCACTGACTACTTGAGCACTTGAAATGCTAGTGTGACTAAGGAACTGAATTTTTAGTTTTGCTTAAACTCACCCTTTCTATAGCTTCTTTTTCCTGAGGCGTTACTTGAATGTAGTTCATATGACCACTTCCAGCTTCTGCAATTCCTCCACTGCCACCTCCACCCCCTCCTCCTCCTTGACCACCAGCTTCTTGAACTGGTTCATTTAACATCTGAATAAAATGCTCCTGGTGTTGGCTAATTTGCTGCGGTGATTTGAAGGACAGAGAAAAATAATGCATTGATAAAAAATATCTTCAGGAAAATAATTTAAATACAAATAAAGGGGAAGCTTTAACTTCACAACTGTAATATTTTACAGTGATTCTGGACTATTCAATTTTTGAAGGGATGCAAATTCTTATATATTATTAAAGAAACTCAGTACTTTTGAGATAAATGGTTAAGAGAATTTGTAAATGCCCTACCCACATCAATTAAAAAAAAACACTAGTTTGCCAACCATCATTCATAATTGTTGCCAAATTAATTTAATTAGTATTATTAAATTCTACATTTGAAAACTGTTGAATTGGCAAATGTTGTATTTTTACAATAAAAAAACAAAACAAAAACCTCTCTTGGACTATCAACTGAAGGCTTAATCAAAAGACAAAAAGCTATTCTTTACATACCAGATAGCTACAAAGAGTTCATTCAAGGAAAAATGGAATTAAAAGCCAGTAGAATTTTCCAACAAAATTTTCTAAGCCCTTAATAAATATTTTATCTCCATGCTGGTAGGCAGTACAATGATCTGAGCATGATATATACCTACAGCTATATTTTTTAAGAGGCAGAACTCCACTCATAATAACTTGAGAAAAGTGGATTAAAAATTTACACATTTTCTTTGTTACAGAGCCTCTCAGATTCTTTACTACATTTATGTGCATCAGAAATCTCCAAGAGGAAAACATAAACTTAGTATTTGACCAAGTAAATGAACCCAACCTCTATCTACCTTATTAATGTTTCTAGATCATAATATTTTATTGAAGGTAATGTAAGAGAATGTTTTAACAGCAAGCTGTTGTTTGGTGCTAATGGACATTTTCACAATGTGATATACTCTAAAGCCTACTTTCAAAATCAACAGATATTAAAAAATCACCTGTAGTAATTGAGGATTCTCTCGACCTATCTGTTGTAGTAATGCTGGAAGCAGGGAAGGATTCTGTTGAATAATTTGTCTCATCTGTTGGAACTGAGGCTGATTCCGTAAAAATTCAAGGGGATGTCCTAAAAACACACACATATTTAAAAATAAAAGTAGTAATTGCATATATAAAGGATTCAGCCATACATTTAGAAAGCAAACACTGGCAAATAAAAATTAGGATTGTGATTGTCAGATATAAGTAAATAATATACATGACTGCAAGATGTGTTGGTGCTGGTTGTGATGTGCCATGGAGTCAGTTACAACTCATAGCGACCCTGCAAAGGGTTTCTGAGGCTATAAATCTTTATAGGAGCAGAAAGCCTCATCTTTCTTCTGTGGAATGGCTAGTAATTATAAACTGCTGACCTTGAGATTTGCAGTCCAACTTATAACCATTAAGCGCTACCAGAGCTCTTTACTTCAGATGTACCAACTTGAAACTCCACTATCAAGGAAATTACTAAAAAAGGTTCTTTGAGAGTACAAAACACTAGAACTTAACTGTGTTACAACTGTCCTGGGCATAAAATAATAGTGCTTGGGACCTGTATGTATATCATCAGAATAAAATGTACTAAAAGTTGATAATACTTCAGAACTTACAAAAAGCAAGAACACTACTTAATTTACAACATAACCAAAAACCCTCAAAGAAAACAATCTGAGCTCAAACCTCAGACCACTAGTGTTATTAATATAAATGGAATAATAATTAGCAAAAAGACTTTTACTGAAATTTCAAACATCTGCAATCTTTTACAACTTGAGGCATGTAAGCTATAAAATAATGTGAGATGAATATATTTAGAGATCTTTAGTCTTTACAATAATAAATATAAATTGTTGTTGTTGCTAAGTGCCATCGAGTTGGTTCTGACTCATGGTGACCCTATATAGGGTTTCCAAGGAACAAGTGGTAGGTTTGAACTTCCAACTCTGTGGTTCTCAGTCCAATGTTTATCCTACATGCCCAGTAAGACATAAGATAAATAACTTCTGACTTTTCTGGGGTATGTGTTTATCTGGTTATGTTAAGCAAACAACAAACCATGTTTGTAGTTATGAGTAATGAGAATTTAGATGTCAGAAGACAATCAAAATATAGCTGTCGCTGCACATGAGCATTTTTTTTCCTGTGTTGTATAATGTAGAACATTAATTCTATAAAAGAAGAAAATCAGATTGGGAAACGAAGTGACCTAATAAAGAGCTCTAGTAGCCAAGTGGTTACGAATGGGGCTGCTAATCTCACAGTTAGCAATTCAAAACTACCAGCTATTCCACAGAGAAAGATGAGGCTTTCTGCTCCCGTAAAGATTTACAGCCTCAGAAACCCTGTACAGGATCGCTAAGAGTCGGAAACAACTCTATGGCACATAACAACAAGTGCTGAATATGAAAGCAACCCAAATCTGATATCAAAGCTGTCACTTTCTCTGTATGCACAAAGCACTGAGGGATGTTTATCACCCAGAGCTGATAACTTTTAGAGTGAGTCAGAAAATGCATAAAAGAATACCCTCTTCAAAAATAAGTTTAACTTAGTACAGTTCTTCTGACTTAATGTTATATATATTTTATGGCCGTGCTCAGGAGAAAATGAAGAGACTAGGAGAACAAACCATTCTGAATGGTTTCATGTGGCACTGCCGGCTAAGCACTGCGCTGCTAATCAACCAGAAGGTCAAAGGTTCAAACTCACCAGTCACTCCGTGGACACCCTACACAGGGCTGCTGAACCGACTTGACAGCACTTAACAACAACAACTGCAACCTCAAAAGTAGTTTTATCTTGAATAATCTATATAGAATCTGTTCTTTGTCAAAACAGTAGCGTTGATGTTTAATATCAGCAAAGGTTATCTCTTACAGCCATTTGGGCGCCTCTCTAACATCACTTTACAGGAAATTCACTTTAGGGGTTATTAGAATCCTTTGGGAACCAACTCCACGGCATATAACAACAACAAAATCCTTTGGGAATTAACTAAAATTTGAAAACTATTTCCTCCCCAATGAAAAATTTCTTCTTTACCTCCAGAACTTGTTGTTGTAGTTGTTGCTGTAGTTGTTGCTGCGGCTGTAGCCACTGCTGAAGACTGAGGTGCGCCAGTACTAGCTGCCTGAGGAGGGTCAACCACAGCCTGACTCTCTCTATCTCCAGGAATGCCCTAAAACATCGTTTTCAGAGGAAAAGATTCATTAGTCCATTTAATATTACTATTTTCTAAAAGCATCAAACAGATACCTGTTTCAATTAGAAGTAAAAGAGTTATTAGGAACCAATCAATACTCAAATTAGGTTGGAAATAACCTAGCGGTAAAAAAAACAACAATGCTCAAATATAAGGCAGCGCTGTCCAGCAGACCATTCCACGATCATGGAAATCCTTCCTATTTGTATTGTCCACATACAGCTACTGAGAACTTGAAATATGGCTATTGTTATGTCCGCTTATACAAGGGTTAGCAATTAAAAAAACCAAAACAACAACAATGAGTACATAGTAAAACATGTATTACAAAGTACCTGAGACAAGATCTTGAATTAGGTTAATAATGTACAACATTTAAAAAGTTAATTAGTTAAAAATTTAAAACACACCTCCTCTCCTCAAAGTAAGATTCTAAGACCAGGTGTATATGAAAATAGAGCATGATCACACAAGATCATAAATGGAAGAGGACTTTATCATAACATAACTGTCAAACCACTTATAATCATGGTCCAGCAAGCTGATACATAGCCATTACAGTCAGCATTACTCTTACTGTTGCCTCACAACTTGACATTCATCTCTGCCATATTTGTGTCATTAACGTGGAAAAAATAGTTTGATTTTTTTTTTTTTTACTACTATTATAAACGTGAAATGTAGGATAATGAGATAGAGGATCTAGTAATATATGCATCTTACTAATATTCAACATATTCTAAGGATATTGTGCTATATACATCACTAGTGTATTTTAAAATTTATCGAAACTTTCTCAGTGGCTGGTCAGTAAAAGATTGCATCTGCAACCTCGCCTTAAGACCAACCAAAGGTTTTTGATGCATATACGAGTTTTAAAATGACACGAAAAGGAAAAGTCTAATGGAGATAGACCAGGAAGCTAAGCAGAGGATCTCCTTTCCTGTACTAAATCACGGTCAAACAAAGCGTCACCTCTAGTGTTGCATATAAAAAAAAAAAAAAAAAATTGATTCACAACTAACAAAATCAAATATATCCAAAAAATTTAAATAAATAATTTTTTTTGTGTGGAGAAGGCACACAAACTCAATCCATGACAACTAAATAATTAAACTTTCAAGTGATACTTTAAGGAAATAGATAACTTCTATAGTTATTACAACTTAAAACTGCACTAACAGTTTTGGGACACCCTATTCCTTCTATGGAGTCCTGGTGTGGCGCTGTGGGTTAATGCGCCAGACTGCAAAGCCATTTGAACTACAAAATCGGTGGTTCAAGCTCACTAGTCACTCCTTGGAAACCCTATACAGAGTCGCTACGGGTCGGAACCGACTCGACAACACTTAACAACAACAATCCTTCTATAACTATTGAAACCTTCTTTATGGAAGTTCTTATTGGATTTAAAGGAGAATGAAGGAGGAACTACTATAGCTGAATAGGAAATGGCATATTCTCCCATTTTCCAATAAACCAGAAGTCAAAGAACAATATAAAGAATGATGAGTAATGAATGGCAGGGTAATGGTTGCCTGCATTAGATGTCATTCCAAGTGCTAGAGAAGATGTTTCTGAGAGAACACAAATTCAACTTCAGGTACCAATACCCGCCTGTCCCTTTGTTTTCCTGCTGCTGTCATGATGGAAGCTATGCCACTGATACTTCAAATACCTATAGAACCACCAAGAGGGCCTTCCAGACTAAGACACAAAAGGGAGAAAGGCTAGTGATCTACTCCTGAAAACTAGACAATGGAGATACTTTCTTCTTATTTCTTTGAGATATTGGTCCTAAACAATTAGAATGAAGAAAAGTTAAATATGTTTCTTACCATTAAAAGATACTCCACTGCTCGGTCAGGGTTGTTGAAACTAGCTCTTAGGGCTGCAATAACTTGTTCTCGTTCATAGCCCATTGACATGATTTCAGTTACCATATTCTCATAGGACTGACCAGTCACTAAAAAAAAAAAAAAGGTGGGAACATTCAACAAAAATAAATTCTCCAGGCACTAAAGTGCTAGGAATATAAAGATGATCAAGTATAAATGATAAACAAAGGCTGCAAATAAAATTAATCAGCTGACCTGAAGGGAAATTAAAAGGAGCTCTGGTAGTGTAGTGGTTACAAGTTAGGCTGCTAACTTCAAGATCAGCAGTTCAAAACTACCAGTCATTCCACAGAGAAAGACGACGCTTTCTGCTCCCATAAAGATTTACAGCCTCAGAAACCCTATGCAGGAGTCGGAACCACCATCCAGCTATGACCAATGTAATTGCCACCCGTCCTTAAAAAGTAGGAGGAGGTTAGAGAATAGATGTGAGAACAGTATCATGGTCAGAAATGGAGGAAGTGTGTCTGTGAGTAAAGGAATGTGAGCGGCCTCTAGAAACTAGAAATGGAAAGGAAATAGAGTTTTCCCTTAAAAAAATTTGTTGCATTGAGTCAAATCAGAATCAGAGAGCATGTAGATCACGAAACCACTGCTGCTGAGTTACTTCTGACTCAGGCCTTTTCTCCCAGAGGGGCTGGTGAGTTTGAACCTATGGCCTTTCAGTGAAAAACGGAGTGCTTAGCCTCAGTGCCAATGGTGCTACATTCCATACAGGAAATGTAGCCCTGCTGACCCCTTAGTGAGATGTGTCACACATGCAACCTACAGAACACATAACTGGTATACAAGGATGAGTCATAAATTATGTGCACTCTGGTTACATTAAAACGCCTGTCCTTGTCCACAGCTGGTAATAACACTGAGCATGCACATGAAATGATTCTGTCTAATAGACAAGTGACAGTGAATTATATGCAAATCATTTACAAATCAGCCAAGGCTCTGCCTATGAAATAATTCACAAAACATCCTCCCTACACTACTAATCTTGCTCCATGGGACGTTCACATGTTTGGTTCCCTGAAAGCAGCCCTTCGACAACAAAGATTCACCTCTGATGAAGCAATGAAGACAGTAGTGAATTCATGGCTCACAGCTCAGCCCTGAACATTTCTTATTAAGGGAATATGAAAGCTTACTGACAGATGGACAAAGTGTATGTCTTTTCTAAAAGTTTATTAATTCTATAAAGATAAAAGTTTATAAATTCCATAGCCAAAATGCAGATTTGTGACTCATGATCGTATAACTGTTTTACACCATTAAATTTGTGGTAGTTTATTATAGTATGAATAGAAAATTATCATATATTTAATAATAAGTTATCATAGAAATGGAATCCTGGTGTGGCACTGTAGGATAAGCACGAGACCGAAAGATTGGTCTGAATCCCAAAGTCAGTGATTGAAACTCACCAGTTGCTCCTCAGAAACCCTATACAGGGTCGCTATGAGTTGTAAACCACATTTCTATGATGGCACTTAACAACAACCACATCATCATAGAAATATCAAGTACAAATGTAGCACAGAAAAGAGAATCGTCAGGTTGTCAAAGAAGGCACTAAAGAAGAGACAGATAAACTGAATTTCTACAAACATGTAGATGAGGCATCTCAAGTATTCAACTCCGTGTTAATAAGTTAGCAGTTTTCCTCGACACCTTATATTATTAAAATAGTTAAGGGGGGTATAGGGAATAGAAAGTCACAATCTCACCCACCACACAAAGTAGGTATACTGTCAGAAGTACGATTACACTAGCAAATCACTTTCCACAAGCTCTCCCCTACACTCCCATAGGTGAGGACCACTCTTCAAGGAAATACCACCAGACAACAGAGAACATGCTGATCTAACTAAAGTAGAATTTCCCACATCTTGTTGGAGTCCTGGTGTGGTGCTGTAGGATAAACACTGGACTACTAACAACAAGGTTGGTGGTTCAAACCCACCTGCTGTTCCTCTGAAACCCTACTCAGGGTCACTATGAGTCCGAAATGACTAGACAGCACTCAATAACAACTAGTTAGCTGCCATCAAGTTGGCCTCTGACTCATGGTGATCCCACGCACAATGGAGCCAAACACTGCCTGTTTGGTCCTGAGCCAACACCATGATCAGTTGGATCTGACCACTGTGAACCATAGGGTTTTCACTGGCAGATTTCCATAGGGCTATCTCCAGGCTTTTCTTTCTAATCTATCTTAATCTGGCAGCTCTAGTATCATGTCATGATTTACAATTATTTTTATTTTGTTTTCTTCCTGCCACTTGCAGGAAGAAGATTCAACCACGAAAGGAACTGTGTCAGTTCATATTTTTTTCTTAAGACACAGTTGATGTACAATATGTTGAATAAATTATGTATTTCTGTAGTCTTTTCAGTAATAAAGACTTAGGTATGAAATGTTAGCTATAAAGCTTAAATCTCACTGAACAAATTCTGCATTTGATATTTCATTCAAGAGTAACAACCTTCTCTTTCCCAAATCATAAAGCATTTTTTGAAATATTTTATTTTAACTGCCCACTGATGCAATCATTCTAGCACAAAGTCACTGAAGTGACAACACACATTCAGTAATTTAGTTCCCATATTAGTTAATAGTTTTTACTGAAACTATATTTTAACTTGGTACTTCTCATTAAATTCTTAAAAAACCCTATGAATAAGTTTATTTTCATTTCCTTTAAAGATTGATGAGTCTGAGGCTTAGAGAGGTTAGTAACTTGCTCAAGGTCCCAATGGCTGGTAATTCATGGTGCTTAACATATAAACACAGCTTATCACACTTCAGAGCCCCCATTATGCCATGCCGCCAAACTTATGTTTCCTAACCAAGCTACAAAAACTCAGAAAGAAATGCTTGTAAGAAACCAATACTTTTAGGTATTAACAACATGAAGGCATATGAAAATGAAAAGCTAGGGACAATGGACAAGAGACAGAGCTAATGAGACTAGATATTGGAGGGTTCAAGAAGCTTATTTTGAGTTATCTTCAAGGTCAAGGGAAATTATTAAAGGAACTAATAATAGCTTTTAGATTTGTCTTTTAGAAGTCCTCTCTGGCAGGGAAGAGACTAATTAGAAGACAACGCAACAGCATCAATGAGGCAAGGATCTGCATTACGGTAACACAGTGGAAACATTACAGAAACTTCAGGCAAGAGGATCAACAGGCTCACAGGAGATAAAGCTAAGAGGAGAAAAGGTGTCAAGGATGCCAATCTGTATGAATGGAGATGATGGCACAAGTACGAAAAGGAACAAAAGTGATTAAGTAGATGGGGAAGTAAAAGATTAGTCAATTTAGAACCCAAGGGATTTGTGGAAGTTAAAGGTTTCTTAAATAAGTCTAGGAGCCCAGAGAGGGCTGTACTAGAGATAAATTCCTGGGAATCCTTCAAGTATATAGGTAGCATTTCCATTCCTATCGTATGAATTTTAACTATGGCCTAGATTGAGCAGAGTTATAGAAAATAACTTTTATGTCTAAGGAGCAGGTTAAAATCAGGAAAAGAATGTTGTCACAGAAACCAAGCAAACAAAGTTTAAAGAACGAAGGTATTAATAGAGACCAGGTAAGTTAAGGATTAGAGAGTAAAGGTCTTAAGACCAAAACGCTGAGAATGATTGTCCCAGGCGATATTAACACGGAGAGCCTATACCCCACTGAAACTGCTTCCCAGTCCTCCAGGCTTCTACCTCCCCACTTTTCATACAGAAGAGTTCCAAAGGGCTCTTTTGCCAGCAAATAAAACCAGCAATTAGCAGGCAAATAGGAATCTACCAGAAATGTGACCACTGGAAAATGGGGGGACAGACTAGGAATAAAGGGGGTATGGAAAAGACTCCAGTCAACAATAAAATTAAAGTGAGGATAAAAGAGCATTTTGCTGTAAGTAAAATATAAGCACTAGATGGAGATGGGCACTTACAGAACAACAAATTCAAAGTGAAACCTGTAGGTGAATAAAATATTAACTTAAAAAGTCTTCAGCAGCATCTTAACTCATCACTGTAGAGTCGATTCTGACTCATGGCAGTTCCATGAGTTACAGAGCAGATCTGCTCCATGTGGTTTTCTCGGTGGCAATCATCTTTATCATGATCTTGGAATCACATCACTCAGGCAATTTTTACGCAGCACTGCTGGGTGGGTATGAACCACCAAGCTTTAGTTACCAGCCAAGTGCAAACTGTTTATTCCACTCAGGGATATGTAGCCATTCATAACTGAATTATTATCTAAGCAACCATTTGGTAGCTCAATTATATTTAACTATGAAAACAAATTTTCATGATTGCAGAAAATAAACTTTTACCTCTTACCTAACTCCGATATGGTTCATTACCAAGTAAATAACATACTTACCAAGTGCACTTGTTGCATCTTCAAAAAGGTTTGACCGAGAAGAATCTCCTGATGTACTGTAAAAGGTTTTTAGAAAATCACACTTCAAAAACTATGTAAAATTTACATAGAAATTTAGTTAATGGTCCAATTTATATTCTTTAAAATTTTTGTGTTAAATACATATGTGACAAAACATTTGCCTCTTCAAAATTTTTTATATGTACAATTCAATGACACTATATTTGTCATCTTATACACCATAGCCATTAGCCATTTCCATCACCCTTAATTTTGAATTTTAATTAAATGTAAAAGTGTGATGATTAGGGTCAAACAATTGGTCTAGATTAAATCCAGAAGCTTTATACATATTATTTATGATTTAGGAAGAAATTTCAATCTTAATATTCTATTTTGAGGATTCATCATTTTAATAAACTATATATAATTTTGTTTACACCTATTTTAGAAATACAAAAAAAAGAAAAAAAAACCGCACAACTATTTCCCTCAAATATGCTAGACAAGCTAAATAATCTATAAATCAAGTTACAGCAGAAAAAATATGAATAGCAGTATATGATAAAATAGCATATGTAAAAATCAAAGTAGACTAGGAAGTCCTTATATAGTGGAAATTCAGTTCAGTCTTACTGATAAATTTTGAACGAGGAAATTGAAAAAGGAAGACAGTCAAGTTAAGGAACATAGCATAAACAAAAATACAGAAATAGGATAAATCCAAGTTCTAACCTAAAGTTAAGTGCCAACCAGTCAATTTCGACTCATAGCCACCCTGTAAAGGGTTCCTGAGGAGTGTCTGATGAGTTTGAACTGCTACCGTGTGTTAAGATGTCCAGTGCTTATTCTATAGCACCATACCAGGACTCCAACCTAAAGTGCATCAGTGTAAAAGAATGAAATTTCTGTTGGGAAATTACAGAATATGAGACTTGGGAGAAACAAGATAATGAAGACTATTAACAGCAGGCCTAAATTGGTTTTGAGTGTTTCAAATGTAAAGGTAGACGTTTTTTAACAAAAGGAGGGGAGTGGTTGATTTTGCAGTCCAGGAGCGGAGGAACCTGGGATCATCAGGACTAAGAGCAGAGTGCGGTACCCTATCCAGAGAAGCAGTGACACCAGAGATGGAGGCAGAGAGATGGAGCGGCTGGGGACTCTGGACTCAGGAAGGGAAAGGGTCTGTGAGCTGACAGTTGGGGGGGGGGGGGGGGCAGGCTTGTGGGGTGTATCCCTCTGGTTGTTTTGATGATGCTGCAAGGAGGGAATTGTAATCATTGCAATAAAACGAAATATGATTGGATGAATGTAAAACTGATGTTTTCCCATGTAAATTATCACTCAATTCACAATAAAAACTTAAAAAAAAAAAAAAAAAAAGAGGCCTATGAAGTTTACAAAAGTGATAAAGGTAGTAGTTAGCAGTTTGAAAACACACACACACACTACCTATCCCAATTTTAAAAACAAACACACACTTGATGTCAGAACTGAGAAAGCACTGTTGCAGAGCAAGAGCAAAGAAGCAAAATTCATAAATCACTTAAATGTTCTAAGCCTCAGTCCTTCATCAATACAATGAGGTCAGTGATAATTGTGGGTAGGCTTACGACTAGAAAAGTGCCTGGCACTAAGAATCCAATATGATTATTATCATTTTGTTATAATAATCATATTGGATTCTTACTATAATTTAAACTTTCTTCCTTAACTAGATAGAAAAAAAAAGATAAAATTAAAAACAAAAAAAAACACCATACAGAAAAACTAAACTGCTTCCCTGACCAAGACCCAGTCTGTAGAGTAGAGAAAGCACTACTATCAATCTGCATTTAAAAGAATTAACACTTATAAACTGACATCATTATTACATACAGGTACAGTCAGGTCTGGCTCATTTCTGTTCCCTACAGATGTGTAGTATTACAACATTTAATGGACAAAATCAAGCTCTTACTAAGGAATCTTTACTTTTAAATGCTTTCTGTAGTCAAATGTTAGGAGCTCTGGTAGAGTAGTGGTTACAAGTCAGGCTGCTAACCTCACGGTCAGCAGTTCAAAACTACCAGTGGATCCGCAGGAGGAAAATGAGGCTTACTGCTCCTTTAAAGATTTACAGCCTCAGCAACCTTATACAGGGTCGCTATGACTCCACAACATGCCACCAGCAGCAGTCAAATGTTACCAACTTCTAATTTAAAAAAAAAAAAGCAGTCATTTTTTTAGGTTAACTTGTTTGGCAAGGACTTCCCCAAGCTAAGGTTATTTTTATTTCTCCCATGTTATATTGTGGTTTACAGTTTACTTTTTACCCATTTAGAACTTATTTTTCCGAGGGTAAGATTATGAGGAATCTACTTTTTTTCTCTTCAGAAGACAGTGAGGCATTCATACCAACAACATTTTTATCCAGTGCTCTAAAATTACATCATCTTATATTAAGGTTCTGTACCCAAGAACTCCTGGTGTGGCGCTGTAGGATCAACACTGGACAGTGAACAACAAAGCAGGCAGTTCAAACCCACCAACTGTTCCTCAGAAACCCTATACAGGATCGCTATGAGTCAGAACTGGTTCAACGGCACTTAACAGCTACCACTCATGTGAAGGACAGGGTACCCTAGTAGCATCATTGCTAAAGTTAACTCAGCTGTTAATCCAAAAGTCAGTGATTTGAACCTACCGACAACTACTCCACAAGAGAGAAAAGGTGTGGCAGTGTTGGAAACCCTATGGAACAGTTCTATTCTGTCCTACTGGGTTACTATGGGTTGGAATCAACTCAGTAGCAGGTTTGGTTTTTGTACCTATTTGAGTCTATTTCTCGACCACTGTCTGTTTCACAGTTATTTTTCAACTATAAGCTATTCTAAACTGCTCTATTCATTATAGCGTATAACATTTTAGTATCTGGTAGGATAGTCCCTCTCTCATTACTTTTCCCCTACAGAACAATTTTCACTATTTCACACAATATTTAAAAAAAAAATTTTTTTTAAAGACTTACAGGTTCCCACTCAATAACAAAAGACTTAAAGTCACATGCATTTAATATACGATGTTCCATATATTATAACACCAGGACTCCTCATTGGTGGTTTTTACATTTTAAACTGAACTAAAGGAACAAATCCGTAATAATGAAATGTCAGCCCAGTGACAATGGACAAACTTTTCAACACTGTCGAGCTCATGTCAATATAGCTCCTGATAATTATTTACTGGGGTCCTGGTGCGGCACTGTAGGATAAGTATTGAACTGCTACCACCAAGGTCAGTGGCTCTAACTCACCACCACTCCTCAGAAACCCCAGACAGGGTCACTATGAGTTGGAACTAACTTGACAGCACTTAACAACAATGGTTTAAAACACAGATAGAGCGAGTACGGCACACGTAACCAGCCTTTTTTCTGAGCTTCTATAATCCTTTTCTTCCTGTTTTTCTTTTCCGAATGTATGCTCCAGGGAAATAAAAGTAGTGGGTGTACAAAGTCCAATTAAGTAAGGTCTGTTTCTTGGATCACTGATCATGAACTAATGCAACCTCTATAGACTGGAAAAGGTAATCCTGACTCTTTAGAATAGGTGACTAAAAATGCATCCCCAGAAAGAAAAAAAAAGGACAGGAATAGGGAGGACACTACACCTATATTCTCTATTCATTATTTCTCGGTAAGAACATTGTTATCAGAGTCCACTAAAAATAAATACTATACTCTAAAGGCAAAGCACTAAAATTAAGAATTGTTAACTACTGACATACCAGTGAAGGTCAGCTGTAATAATATAGCTAGAAGGAATTCCCTGTGAACTTCTACCAGGCTATCTATTTATTAATTTGAACGCTTTCCAATGAAAAGAACCCAGACTAAAGCATTTGCTTCAGTCATTTATCAATGATATAAAAACCTGACAACTTCCAACAAGAAATCGTATCTTCCTTCAAAAATATAACAGCACTTTATATTTCTTCTAAGTAGAGCGCTAAACAGAAATAAAACACCAAAAAGGTAGTTGTTACCTGATTCTGGTTCACAATAGTGTGTAGAAAAAGAACTAAAATCTTAAATTAACAACATTCATCAGAGTAATAAAATTTTAAATAGAAAAATACAACAAAATTAAAGTACAATAAACTGAAAACTGTCAATTCCTTTCAGATGTACTGATGTGTGCACAAAAACCCCAAAGCTGTATGCTTTATTTACTTCTTCCTTTGTTTAAAAAATCTACACAGTGAGTTCACCACAAATATCTATGTTGTTGTTGTTAGGTGCCGTCGAGTCGATCCCGACCCACAGAGACCCTATATAGGGTTTCGAGGAGTGGCTGGTGAGCTTGAACTGCCAACCTTGCAGTTCAAACGGCTTTACAGTCTGGCACATTAACCCACAGCGCCGTACCAGGACTCCTATGAGGGGGCTTCAAAAGTTAGTGAAGAGATGAAATTAAAAAATGTAACAGAATTTCCCCCATCCTTTTGAAGCCCCCATGTATACACCGACAACAGTGCAAAATTAAAACAGCCCATATATGTTCAAGAAAAGGTATTATTCGAAATATTAACAATAGCTAATACCTACTCAGTCCTTTCTGTGTGCCACATGCTATTTTGAGTCTTTTATATTTATTATTTCATTTAATCCTTACAGCAACCTATGAAATAGCTCTTTTTGTTATCCACATATTATATATGAGGGGAAAAACCAAACTTATTTTGGCTAAAAGTTATAGAGTCAACAAACATCAGGAGAAAACACAATAGAAAACTCTATGTGACAACTGGAAATATTTGTGACATGGAAGAATGATACAAATGACAGTGATAAGAAAGAATATTGAGAACAAATACAAATAATGATAGGGAAAAGTAACAAGTTATTTTAGAGTCTTTGTTCTTTTTGATCGTTTTTATTTGCTAACTTTCCCACACAAAATCAAGAATGACTGCTGCAGCACATCACCACTACCAGCTCTCCCCAAAACTAATTCAGAAATGAGGGAATTTGCATTATGGAAATTTGTACCTATAAAAATAAGCAATGATTTGTTCAAAAATTTTAAATTGTTACACAGTAGTCAGTTTAATCAAAACAATAATTGAAATACATGCATGAAGTTCTTGTTACAAAGATATTTTGAGAGACAATTTTCCTAAAACCCAGACCATACCTGTCAGTTGATGTTGGACTAGTAGTCACCGGTATTTCTGCAGGTTTCTCTGCAGGTTTCTCTTGTTTAGTTGCACTAGCAGGTGCAGGCTCAGAAGATGCTGTTGTTGATGCTGGAGTGATGGACGTAGGTGTGGAATTAGGAGCCAAAGCAGGGGCCGGGGCTGGGGCCTGTGCCACAGCTGCTGCTGTAGAGGAGCTAACTGCAGTAGTGGTGGGATTTGATTGCTGAGTTACAGCTGATGCTGGTGTTGTCACTGCTTTGGGCTAAACACATGAATAAGCAAATAATGAACTATGATGACATACTTAAATTATTCCCTATGTCAAACTAGACCACATAAGTGGGCTTTAAAAAGTTAGTGGAAAAATGGAATTGAAAGATAATGGAATTTTTCCATGCACTTTCTGAAGCCCCATTGGATTGTTACAGGATGCTACAAGCAAAAGACTAATTAATACAAGGTAATAAATTGAAAATAATTTTGTAATGTAGTACCAAATGCAATGAGTATTAGTAATAGATTCACTTGAGAGCATATGTAAATTATATAACTATCAATCTGAATTAGCTTTAGCTAAAATTTAAATCTTCTAATTTCATCTACTTCCACCACTTCCTCTGTCAGTTTGTCCTACTGTGGTGGCTTGCAGGTTAGTGTGATTCTGGAAGCTATCCCGCCGGTATTTTAAATACCAGTAGGTTAACACTATTGGTGCTAAGCTTACAGACTATGACAAATTAGAAGGAGACGGACCACTTCTGAATGTTTAGCCACTTTATGAATAGCAATGGAATACTGTCAGAGACCACAAAAATACTGAATATTGAAGTGTGATGAAAACCACAAGAATACAATCAAATATAGTATCAGAAAATAAGCCCCTAAGGTTGGAAGGAAATCAGGTGGGAAAGGGCTGCCTCCTCAAAGTAGAGTTGATCTGGATGACATGAATGGAGTAAAGCTTGTAGGATCTTCATATACTGATGGGGCACAACTCAAAATTAAAGGAAATAGCCGTAAACATCCATTATTTATCACAAAATGGAATGTACATATGAATCTAGGAAAACTAGAAATTGTCAAAAAACAAATGGTTCCACAGATCAATATGCTAAGGATAAGCATTAGTGAGCTGAAATGGACTTTACTGACCATTCTAAATCTGACAATCATGATTCCTATGCCAGGAATGACCAATTGAAGGAGATGGCATCACATTCATCATCAAAAAGACCATTTCAAGATCTAAGAGTATAATGCTGTCTGTGACAAGAAAATATTTATAAACCTACAAAGAAGAGCAGTTAATACCATTACAATTTAACTTTATGCTTTAAGCACTAAAGTCAGTGATAGTGAAACTGAAGAATTCTATCAACTTCTTCATTCTGAAATTGATCAAGATGTACCAATAATTACTGGAGACTGGAATGCAAAGGTTGGAAACAAAGAGGAAGGATCCATAGTTGGAAAATCTGGCTTTCATGATAGAAATTACAATGCAGAGTCCATGAAAGAAAGAATTTTGCAAGACCAATGACTTGTTCATTGTAAATACCTTTTTTAAACATAAAAGAAGACAATACACATGGACCTCACCAGATTGCATTCACAGAAACCAAAGTGACTGTTATCTGTGGGAAGAGATGGTGTAAAAGTTCCGTATCATCAACGAAAACAAAGTCAAGGGCAGACTATGGATCAACTGCTCATACTGAAACAGGTCCACCAGTGCCAAATATCACACCTGAATTTAGAAATAACCTCAAGAAGAGAATTGATGCATTAGACACTAATGACAAAGATCAAATAGTTGTGGGATGACATCAAGAACATGATACAAGAAGAAAACAAAAGGCCATTAAGACCTTAAGACAAGAAAGAAGGAACAGCCCAAAATGGATGTCAGAAAGACCCTGAAACTTGCTCATCAGTATAAAGATGTTAAAGCAAATGGAAGAAACGAGGCAATAAAAGAGCTGAACAGAAATTTTTCAAAGGGTAATTTGAGAGGACAAAGCCAAGTATTACAATAAAAAGCTTTGCAAAGAACTGGAGTTAGAAAACAAAAAAAGAAGAACACACTATTACTGAAGGTGAAAGAACAGAAAGAAAAAAAAAAAAGTTTAAGCCTCAGGTTGCAATCTTGAAGGATTCTGTGGGCAAAATAATGATGCAGAAAGCATCAAAAGAAGATGGAAGGAACATACAGAGTGACTGTACGAAAAAGAAACGGAGGATGTTCAACCATTTCAAGAGACAGCATATGATCAAGGGTCAATGGTACTGTAGGAAGAACAAACCTGTGAAACCATTGATTTATCTTTTCAATTTAAGATAGTGTGTGCTGGAGAAAAAGTGACCAGTGTCAATGTGGAGCGGTAAACTTAGAAAATACTAGTGGCATTTACTCCTTCCTTTCTCTCTTCTTCTTGTATGTTAGGTGCCATCAAGTCGGTACCGCCTCACAGTGACCTTATGCACAACAGAACAAAACACTGCCCAGACCTGAGCCAACCTCACAATCGTTGCTACATTTCCTGAGTCTCTTGCTGCTGCACTGTGCCACTCAATCTCGGTGGGGCGGGGGGGGGGTATCTTCCTTTTTTCCCTCCAAACCTCCACTTTACCAAACACGGTATCCTTTCTCCAGGGACTGGCCCCTCCTGATAATAGTCTGAAGTATGAAAGACGAAGTCTGGCCATCCACGCTTCCCCAAGGAACTTCCAACTTCCAAAGCTGTACTTCCAACAAACTGGTTTGTGCTTTTGGTAGTCCACGGTCCTTTTAATACTCTCCTCCAACACCATAACTCAGATGTATCAATTCTTCTACAGTCTTCCTTATTCACTGTCCAACTTTCACATGCATATGAGGTTAGGAAAATACCACAGCTTGGAACAAGCACATCTTAGTCCTCAAACTGACATCTTTGCTCTTCAACACTTAACAGAGGTCTTGTGCAGCAGCTGTGCCTAATGCAGTATGTCCTTTGATTTCTTGACTGCTGCCTTCCAGGAGCGCTGATGGTTAATACGAGCAGAATGAGGTCTTTGATTTCAATCTTTCTCCATTTATATGGATGCTGTTCATTGGCCCAGTGGTGAACATTTTTGTTTTCTTTACACTGAGGTACAATTCATACTAAAGGCTGTGGTCTTTGATTTCCATCAGTAAGTATTTTAAGTCCTGTTTGCTTTCAGGAAGCAAGGTTGTATCATCTGCATATCGCAGGTTGTTAATGAGTCTTCCTCCAATCCTGATGCCATATTTTCCTTCACATAATCCAGCTTCTGCAAGTATTTGCTCAGCATACAGACTGTATAAATATGGTGAAAGAACACAACCCTGGAGTACACCTATCCTAATTTTAAACCATTCGGTGTTTCCTTGCTCTGTTCGAACAACTGTCTCTTGATCTATGTACAGGTTTCTCATGAGCAAAATTAAATGTTTCAGCATACTCATTTTCTGCAATGCTGTCTATAACTTGTCATGACCTACACAATCAAATGCCTTTGTATAGTCAATAAAGCACAGGTAAACATCTTTCTGGTATTCTCTGCTTTCAACCGAGAACCTGATGATATACCTCATTCCATGTCCTCTTCTGAATCTGGCATGAACCTCTGGCTATTTTTGTATTATCTTTGGCAAAAAAATTTCCCCTATTTTAAAGGCCTTGTATTTAGCTTTTTATCTTTCATAACTGTAAATACATTCTGCAGATTATATATATTGTTCAGCCTCAATGAGCTGTAATTCTCATTTTAGATGAACGAACTTCATAAAAATGTAATTTAGATGTTTAAGCACTAAAGCTTGAAAATCAATTTAGATTAAAATATTTAGAATTTTATTATACACATTTAGTATTTCCTTACTACTTTTGATCAATATTACACTGCAACATTCCACAGCCTCAAAGTTTCTGCTGTCACTAAGGGTTATTTAGCTTTATACCAAATGCTTACAAACCCCCCTCAGCTTTTTGAAAATTTTGTTTACTTTTGACATTTTGTTTCTGTCCCTTTTTGACCTAATGATCGTTTCTTCTTGCTCCAATAATGCCTAACTGTTGTTGTTGTGAAGTGCTTTCGAGTCAGTTCCAACCCATAGTGACCCTGTATAGAGTTTCAGGAATGCCTAATTATCACAAAATTACAAAAGCTCTACTATTAACTTCAAATAAATAAAACCACCATGAAAATCATTAGAATCTTATGTAAAAGAAGAATAAATGAGCTCCATGTATCTACTCCTCAATTGCAAGTGTCTATTCTGAGACCTTACAATTCTTAGTTATGTTCTGAATACTCAAAATTATTGTAATGCCATTGAAGATATTAAAATGCGAGGCTTCTTCCTAGACAAATAGTAGATGGGACTATAAAACAAACACTACCACCATGAAGAATATTTTCCTCTGAAAAATCAACTATGTGAGACCAAAAGGACAACATCTGACCAAAATCAAATACGAGAAAAGCAGGCAGGTAGAGGAAAGCCAAAGGAATGGAAACCAAGAACCCAGGGAATACACAGGGAGAACGCTGACCCACTGCAGGAATTGTAACCAATGTCACAGAACAATGCGTGCATGATAGGAAAATTAATTTGCTATACAAACTATCACCTAAAGCACAATAAAATATTTTTAAAAAATGTATCATAATACTAAAGAAAATAAGGTCAATAATGAAACATACGAAAATGTACAGCTATCTCACTTTCCAATTAAGTGCTATACACAAAACAATCTGGAACTCTGGTACAGTAGTGGATTAAGAGTTGGGCTGCTAACTACAAAGTTAGCAGTTTGATTCTACCAGCCGCGCCATATGAGAAAGATGAGGCTTTCTGCTCTCGTAAAGATTTACAGCCTTAGCACTGTATACCAGGTCAATATTTGTCGGAATCGACTATACAGCACACAACCATCAACCATGATAAAATTAGATGGGACAAGACTGCCTCACCTGATTTTGTATATCTGTATTTAAAGTTAAACATTTAATGAGTAAATGCTTAAATATAGAAAAATCAATATGGTTCTTAATGGATTAATAAAATACTTCAAGTCTGAAACATGTAAACTGATACATTCAAACGGTTTTTGTTTCTGGGAACCAAAATATACACTGATTAAAATATATTTGTTCATCTCTACTTTCTATTACTTATGTAAAGTATTTTCTCTGACTTAAAAAGTAAAATGAAACAGATTCTACTTTTGGGTTTGATGAACTGGTTTTAATTATTCAGGGTTATAAGTAACATTCTTTTTAGATTGACAATTCTGTCTTAAATATTAACATCGTGAATACCACGGCTTCTCTGTATTTGTCTTAACTCTTCTATACTGCCATTAGTTGCCAAAGAATCAGACTGCATGGTTACACACCTTTAAATAAGTAAACATACACGTAAAAACAAAGCCTCTGAAAGAACCCATTCATTCTGTTTTACAGAAAAAAAACCTGCTTACATATGGTCCCAAATATACATCATTCCAATAACTTACAAATAAGTTCTTCATATTTATCATTTCTCTCAATAATCATTCTGTCATTTCTCCAACTGCCTTTCCCTTTTTTTTTTTACTTGTAAGAAATCTATTGCATCCATTACGTAATTTCACTGAAATTCTGAGTCTACATGTCCTTTCTGCACTGAGTTTGTTGGGATCTAGTATGGAATTTAAGTAGACTCTTTAAGGAATCCTTAGTAAAACCATAAAATAAACATTTATTCCAGTTCTACCAAACACTATTTACTAATAATTATTTATTTTATTACTTCAACAAAATTACCAATTTTTAGCATGACATTTTATTACATTATTTTAATCTACTTCAAAACTACATTAAAACTACAAATGTATAAAATTATTTTTATGGTTGACGCAAAGTCAATGTTAAAGTTATTCACTGCAGATAAGTGCACAGAACAATGTATATATGCTGTATTCACTTTTTGCTTTTTTTAAAGAATCGCATGACTACATAAAGATGTAAAGAATGAAGCTGAAACTTACTTTTGTCACCATAACCACCACAAAGTTTTTCTCATCAATTTTATATTCTTTGAGAGCAGTATCATCATTGAGGATTTTGCCTAGCATATTAAGAGAAAAGGTGTTATTTAAGGTAAAGCAATTTTTACCTGACATATAATTAAAGCTAAAATTTTCTATTAATCCTAAATTGTAATTCTACCCATTTGTTACCCAAAGAAAAATCCAAACCAACAGATTAAGATAAATTTTAATTTGTTGTTGTGTTTAAGGGCTATTGAGTCACTTCTGACTCATACTCACCCTATGTAGGGTTTCCGATCAGAGGAGCAGCTGGCTGGTTTGAACCGCTGACCTCATGGTTAGCAGTCCAGTGCCTATCCTACAGAGCCATTGTTGTTGTTACTGTTAGGTGCTGTTGAATTGCTTTTGACTCATAGAGACCCTGTATAGCATTTTCGACCTTGTGGTTTCTCAATCGTTTAGCAGTTAAGATGTAATTACCACCTCTGTGATGAAAACCAGTATAACACAATCCCTGATCAAGATATGATCAGTCCTGATCTGATGTAATTATCCTATGTGCTGCAAGATTTCACTTCTATGATGGTAATGAAGTCAGATGCAATTTGCAGGATTAGGTTGTATCTTGAGCCAATTCTTTTGAGATATAAAAGAAAAGTTGAGTAGAGAAAAGATAGGTGTGGTGCTGTTGGTTAACGTGCTGGACTGCAAAGTCGGTTTGAACCGCTAGACCGGCAGTTCAAGCTCACCAGATGCTCCTTGGAAACCCTATACAGGGTTGCTATGGGTCGGAACCGACTCTACAGCACTTAACAACAACACAACTACCACCAAGAAAGCAGAGCTGGGAATGGAATGTGTCCTTTGGATCTGAGGTTTCTACCACTACAATGCCCCTTTGATTCTCGGGGGAAGACTAATGCCAAGTTGTATGGAGATCTCCAAGGAATACTGGGTCTACAGATGCTGACAAAGAGAAGGCCTTCCCCTAAAAACCACCAGCACTCTGGATTTGGAATTCTAGTCTCCTAATGGTCATCAGCAGTTCGAAACTACCAGCTGTTCCAGGGAGAAAGATGAGGCTTTCTGCTCCCATAAAGATTTGCAACCTCAGAAACCCTGTGCAGGATCACTATGAGTCAGAACCAACTCCAAGGTACTTAACAACAACAAGGTCAGTTTGGGATTCCTGGTATAGTGCTATAGGATCAGCACTGGGTTTCGAACCACAAGGTCATCAGTTCAAACCCACCAGCTGCTTCTTGAAAATCCTATATAGGGTCACTCTGAGTCGGAACAGACTCGATAGCACTACAACAACAAGGTCAACCTGAATCACAAGGTCGGTTTCCAAGCCACTCCTTAGAAACCCTGTATAGTCACTACGGGTCAGAATCAACTCAATGGTACTTAACAATTGTGAGAGAATACATTTTTGGTTGCTGTAACCATCCACTTGTGGTATATCTGTTTAGCAGTACTATATAATTAAGACAGACTAATAATCACTAATAATCAGACTAATACTGTCTGCCACCATAAGCTCCTACCACATTAAGTTTCTGATTCCTGCCCTGTAAAATTTGTGGGGATGAATTACATACAGTGCCAGAATGTCCTCTCAATTGGCTCACTCCTCTAATATAGTTCAGTTAAGAAAATACTACAAAATCTCTAGGACAAGATAATCCACGGGCAGTTCAAGACCCAAATTACTGACAACTCCAATGACTTATGTTTAGTGGTAACTTTGAAGAATAAAGACAAGAATTTTTCCCTCATAAATTTAGATATCAAGCTTATTTGTAGCATACATTTTCCAGGCAACTTGTGAGCCTAGTAGAATTTTGGTGTGACAGTGTAGAATAAATACTGGGCTGCTAATCACAAGGTCTGCTAGCGTAGTGGTTACAAATCGGGCTGTGAGCCACAAGGTCAGCAGTTCAAAACTACCAGCCGTTCCGCGGGAGAAAGATGAGGCTTTCTACTCCTGTAAAGATTTACACCCTCGGAAACCCTGTACAGGGTCGCTATGGGTCGGAACCGACTCGATGGCACTTAACAACAACAATCACAAGGTCAGTGGTTCAAACCCACCAAGTCAGTCGCTCCTCAGAAACTCTACAGGGTCACAAGTCAAAACTGACTGGAAAGCACTTAATAATAACAACAAGACCAAACAAAACTAAGATGGCTTAATGTAAAAATCTATAGGGTAAATGTGAATAATGAGAAGTTGAATTATTAGTATAATTGTTTTTTCATTGCTTCTATCTGAACAATTATATTTACCACAGAAACAATTTATATACACAAGTAATCTTAGGATAACCATTTCTAAAATGAAAAGAATGCCAAGTTAGGCAAGAAAATGACTCATTAACTTCAAATTTTAGTTCATACCTGCATAAATTAATTTTTGGCCTGCTACCGGAAAAGCATCTTTTCCCTTTTCAGATTCAATTTTCTCCTTTAATGCTTTCACCTACAAGAGAAATATATTTCATTACAAACAAAAAGTGACCAACCAAAATCTGAAAAAAAAAAGGTATATAATGCATAATTCAATTATAAAAGGGAAATGACTCACTTTTAAATACTGTAATGTCTCATTCCTTCATTAAGTGGTGGGCCTTCATAAAGACCAATTAAAATACGAGTGTCTGAGGGTGAGGCCTGGACATCAGTGTTTATTAAAAAAAACTTGACCAACTCTCCCCCGCAAACTGCAAAGGCAGCTATCAAAGTTAATTCTGCCTCTACAAGGATCAGCAAGGAGCTCTGGTAGCATAGTCGCTACAAGTCAGGCTGCCTACCTCAAGGTCAGCAGTTCAAAACTACCAGCTGCTCCGCGAGAGAAAGATGAGAAATTCTGCTCCCGTTAAAATTTACAGCCTCGGAAACCCTGTGCAGGGTCACTATGAGTCGGAATCGACCCCATGGTACTTAATGACAACAACAATAAGATCAACACAGGACTTCAAACAACAAGGTCAGCAGTAAAAACCCACCAGCTGCTCCTCAGAAACCCTTTATGTTCCCTATGAGTTGGAACCAATTCCTGGTATGGCGCTGTGGGCTAATGTGTCAGACTGCAAAGTCAGTTTGAACTGCAAAGTCTGTGGTTCAAACTCACCAGCTGCTCCTTGGAAACCCTATACAGGGTGGGTAGGAATTGACTCAACAGCACTAACAACAACGTAGGATAGAGTAGAACTATCCCATAGGGTTTCCGACACTGAAATCTTCACTGAAGCAGACTATGACGTCTTTCTTTCAAGGAGTGGCAGCTGAGGGGTTTTAACTGCCAATTTTGCGGTTAGCAGCCAAGCATGTATAACCACTGCAGTTGATGAAGCCTCTTTTAAAAAGAGATTTACAGATAGTTCCAAAGTTCAGTCACTGGACTACCTAAAATATCTTATGAATGTAGCTTGGATTCTCAACATTAATTTCATCTGTAAAGTAAGATGGACTGAAGTAGCTGACTTTCATGGTCTTGTTGATTCCTAACATTATGTGACAGTAGGCTCATTATAAAGTAAGTATTTACAAAACCATGCGTCGAATTAACTTTTGAAGCCAACTGATCAGAAAGTAGTGTGGCACAAAAGACAAAACTGCAAGGACACCTGGTTTCCCATGTGCTCAACTCAACCAGTTTCATTACTTTATAAACATGAGAGTTGAGAAAAAAAACAACTTCCATTTCCTTCAATGTACTCAAATAATTCTGAAACAGTTGAAACTGATAGTTCTGAGATATATGTAAAAAATTATTTAACTGAAAGGGGTGCAACGAGATAGCCTGGGGTACAATTGGTGTACCAAAAAGGTTGGTGGCTGGAATCCACCCAAAGGCACAAATACTGGCTTGAAGATCTACTTCCAAAAGGTCTTGGTCTTGAAATGTGTACTTAAAAAAATTAAAAAGAAAGTTTAAAATACACTTACATAATTTCACATAATCCTCAAAATCTTGGGATAAATGGGATAAAATCTGATCAATTTTAGAGATGAGAAAATAGAAAACACCTGCCTCAAATAGCAAAGAGACTTAAGGAGTATTTTGTAAATAACATTGTTATCACCCATGGCATTTGAATCTTCCTGAAATTCTGATGCTCCCCTAAAACAGAAATTCACTATACAAACTGCAGCCCATTATTTTCTGTTATTCTAAATTTCAAAGGTGAAACACCAGTAACAACTTTTTTAAAAAGCACTCAGAAAATCTCAACATTAACAGTATGCACAGATAGGACTTTCCTGACTTTGTTAAACTCAGTATTATTGTTTTCTATCACTACACAGCTAATTCTTTGCTAAGTGTGGTTCAAAGTTTAAAAAGCACCAAGTCCTCAAGGCAATATCTCTAATTCGTTACTGCCTTAAGTAACATTTATGCTGCTATTTCTGATTTTACCTATCTGTTCACCATAATATCTTTAACATGGATAATAATATTTCGATACATATCCCAAAGTAGAGCTTGTCTGTTATTACGAACCACTATACGCACCTCTAAGGAGCTCTGGTAGCGTAGTGGTTACGAATCGAGCTGCGAACCTTAAGGCCAGCAGTTCGAAACTACCAGCCGCTCCACGGAGAAAGATGAGGCATTCTGCTCCCGTAAAGATTTACAGCCTCGGAAACCCTGTACAGGGTCGCTATGGGTCGGATCCGACTCGACGGCACTTAACAACAACAACAACAACATACGTACCTCTAACTTTTCATACACTGAGCTTTATGGGGGTTGGTTTCTAACTACACTTGTACATAAATCAAGTTGGAGTTGGCAACCCAAGGACTGATTGTACTACAATGCCAGTAAATAACAAAGGAGACCTGGTGTGGCAGTGTAGGATACACTGTACTTCTAACCACGAGGTCAGTGGTTCAAATCCACCAGCCCCTCCTCGGAAGCCCTATACAGGGGTCACTATGAGCAATCAGGAGTCCTGAATCCTAAGCACTTAGGTGCTGTCGGTTAATGCACTGTAGTACAATGTTGAACCTCACCAGCTGCTCCTCGGAAATCCTACACAGGGTAGCTATGGGTTGAAACCGACTTGACGGCACTGAACAACAACAGTGAGCACTTAACAACCACAACCACATAATCCAAAAGAAGCCCTGGTAACATAGTGGGGCATGAGTTGGGCTGATAACTGCAAGGGCAACAGTTTCAATCTAGCAGCCAGCTGCTCTGTGCGAGAAAGATGAAGTTTTCTGCTCCCATAAATATTTACAGTCTTGGAAACCCTATACAGAGTCGTTATGAGTCGGGACCAACTCAATCTTACCCAAAACTGATAAACAAGAAGAACAGGGATTGAACTTTTTTTCTTTTTAACTGTTTATTTTCCCCTAAAGAATGGGAGTTTATCATGAACTGAACTTGAGACTAAGCATGGTTAAACTTTAAAAAAAAATACTTAAAAACTTTTCTAGTCACATAGCTCTCTTATGAAATTGTTCATTTTAGAACAAAAATGTACTCTAATGTTGCCACAGTTGATAAAGCTTTCATTTTATTCCCCACAGGGGAGAAAAATCACAGAAATTATTAAAAATTCCCAACACAAAAGGTGATCAGTCATCCTTTTTCATCCCAATTCCCTTTTTAAGGTCCTTGTCTGCTCTCATTTTCTCACACCACATGGTGCCAATATAACATTTAATTAACATCAGAGAATGTAATTTCCTAATGTAGTCAGTCACTCCACTGCATCACTCACTGCTCTAGTTCAGGGCAATAACCAATAGTAGTCATTTCCTTCAACAAATGAGGAAGTTGTAATAATAAAATGTCTTGTAAATTATATTTCCATGACAGCAGTATTGAGATGCTGCATGCCAATCTTCTTATACAGCACCCTTTGCATAAAATTTCTAGGACTATTGCCTGTTGACTTTCTGATATTCTCTGCTCTCAGCCAAGATACATCAGACATCAGCAATGATATTCCTCGTTCCACGGCCTCTTCTGAATCTGGCTTGAACCTCTGGAAGTTCTCTGTCAATGTATGCTTGCAGCCGGTGTTGGAAGGAGTGCAGCCAGAGTGCTCCTTGGAGGCCAGGATGGCCAAACTTCGTCTCTTATACTTCAGACGTATTGTCAGGAGGAACCAGTCGCTGGAGAAGGATATCATGTTTGTTAAGGTGGACGGTCAGAGAAAAAGAGGAAGGCACCCAGTGAGATGGATTGGCAAAGTGGCAGCATCAATGCATGTCAACAATTGTGAGGCTGGCCTAGGATCGGGCCAAGTGTTTAGTTCTGTTGTGCATAAAGGTCACTATGAGTCGGTACCTACTCGATGGCACTTAACAATTGCCTGTTAACTAGGTAAGCAACTGCATATTCATAACCCACAGCTTTCTCAATTCAGTACATTTTTCCTTATATCACTAAACAGTAAAAGGAATTATTATACAAACTTTAATGAGGAGCCCTGAAATATCAAGGCTGTATAAATAATAACGGCTAATCTAAGCTGTGGAGTCCTGGTGTGGTGCTGTGGGTTAATGCGCTAGACTGCAAAGTCAGTTCGAACTGTAAGGTTGGTGGTTCAAGCTCACCAATTGCTCCTTGGAAACCCTCTGGAGGGTCGCTATGGGTCAGAACCAACTCAACAGCATTTAACAACAACAATGTAAGCTGTGCATTACTTAAGGTCCACAGTAAGTTCTGTGAAATATGGTCATACGTGATTTGGATATTGTACAAACAGGCTATGAAGAATTTTCAGAGTTCATGGAAAATTTGTATTATGAAAAAACTATACATGGATTTCCATTTGGGGGGGTGGTGATGGTGGTTATGTGCCATGGAGTCGGTTCCGACTCATAGCAACCCTGTACAGGGTTTCCGAGGCTGTAAATCTTTACGAGAGCAGAAAGCATCTTACTCCTGCGGAACAGCTGGTAGTTTTGAACTGCTGACCTTGAGGTTTGCAGCCCAATTCGTAACTACTACGCTACCAGAGTTCCTTATTTTGGGGGGTGGGGCACCAAAATAAACTGGTACTAACTTGTCATACCATATCTGAACAGGATCTAGTTTGAGGCACTAAGAAAGATAAATTTGAAAAAGTTCCTATCATAGCAACATAAATTCTGCTAAAAATGAAGTTAAGAACAAATATATGGTGAAGCTTGGATGGAAGAATAGTGAAGTCATTGATTTTTAACATAATGTTTATGGGAACAATGTCCAAAGAAATCAACAGTTTACAAAAGGATAACTTCTTTTAAGAAGGTATAAAATAATAGTCTCAGGGTAGACTATCCAAAACTTTCAAGGAAACAATTTTGTTCATGCCCTAATTGAGGAGGACAAGAGAAACAATAACCAACACCTTAGACATCTCAACTAGGTCAGTCAACAATTCAGACAGAAAAATTAAAGTTGAGCAAACTGTCTGATGGGTGATAAAAATGTTGCACTCAGATCAGCTGCAGACAAGAGCAGAGCTTACA